GACTGTGCAAAGCCTGCTGCATTTCAGGCTGTGAGGAAAGGCAGAGCCAGTTGAAGTGAGCTAAAGCTGTCTGAGAGCTGGGTAGGTGGAAGTGTTTCTTCCATCAATACAGAATAGGCAAGCCTTATTCACAAATTTGAGTTCAGTTATTTTATGGACTGTGTACAGGCAAGTGTGTTTGTTCCTCCTGCCTGGAGGTGTTCAAGGCCAGGAACTAGATCATCTTTAATGTCCCTTCCAAGCTAAGCCATTTAAAGATTTTATATCATGATAATATGCTCATGGGTCAACTGTACTGTACTGCCTTCTGGTTAGAAGTGTGTCTAAGGATTATAGTATAATGTTATCTGGTCTAAGCCGGGTGTGTTTGTGCTGGATTCAGCCATAGAAGCGTAATCTCATGTCTAACTTGTTAAAAAAAGTTATTTTAACGTAACTTTATAACGTTGCTTAGCTGAGGCAGTTTTCCTTTTTTTCTTTCAGCTGATGCAGCCCAACAGTTTCAGTATGCAGTGAGAGTTATTGGAAGCAACTTTGCTCCCACTGTTGAACGGGATGAATTTCTTGTAGCGGAGAAAATCAAGAAAGAACGTAAGTGCACCTTTTTCTTTCTTAGAAATACAGATGGAAGTTCTTAGGAAGTTGCCTGGCCAATTTATTCAACTGAGAATGGGACAGCTCAGCCTCACAGATAGTTATTTAATCAGTTATTAGTGCTCAACCCGTGAAGATCTTGTGATGGAAATTGCATTAATTCCCTAGTTAGTGTTCCTGAGTGGTTATTTCTGTTCACAGCTCACATTTTTCTGCGTGCTCAGCTTAGACTTCCCTTGTTTACTCTCTGTCTTAGCTACCATGAAAATCAAGAACTATTAATATTGCGCTCCTTTCACTTTTAATAGTGCTCAGACTTCATGAATTCATAGTTCTTTTTATATTTGATATTTCTGTGATGTGCGCTTTAGAAGGGTTGCACTTTGGCACAGTTAACTTCATGAGCACCTGTGTAAGACTTGCTGAATGAACATCCTGGGAATTGATGGAATTGTTTGTTGCTTACCTGGTATTTCTTGCCTTCAGCTTCTTCAGTTTATCTACAAGTTTATCTGCAACCACCTTCTCAAAACCTAAAACATTAGACCATGACAGTGCAAGTTATGTTGCAGTTATTATCCCTTGTGTTCTATGCTGCTTTTAGTCAAATGTTACACTATGTGAATTCAATGGGAATGTGATGTATTCTTCTTAAAAAGTCAAACATGGCTTTCAGCAGATTATCTGCTTTACAGTAGAATGTTCAGAAACAATCACTTGAGGTATACTAATTAAATTAAAGCTTCATATTTGGGCTTTTAATATTCAGTCAGGGAGATTGAATTAGAGTAACTGAAATCAGAGGTTGTAACTTGTACATGGGTGTTTTTTGCTAGTACAGAGCTTCCATGACTTGCTGATAGGCAAATAAGCTGTCAGAGAGAGTTTCTCTAGGTGCACTTCCAAATCACTACAATCTACAGCATATGCTTTCTGCTTGATGAGTTTCTACATGCTTTGGCTGGTACTAGACAGCACAACATATATTCTTTGGGCCTGTTGACAGGAGTTTTGAAGATGGCTATTTCACTCATCTTCTTTCTCCCCAGATTCAGCTTGTTGGCTGTTAGTCATCTTGTAACAAGTGACTGGATATATCCTTCAAACTTTACATTTATTTTGCAGTTACCATGCAGGAAGTTACTTGGCAAAATGTACTTAGCAGTGGCTTTAATGCTAATTAATATTTTTAATATTTAACAACATTTTTTAAATTAAGATTTCTTCAGATGTTTTTTGTGGGTTCTTTGTTGTTGTTTTCGTTGTTTGTTTTTTTTAAACACGGCTCTTTCTGATGTAACATGACTTTTCTGAAGATACCTTAAAGCTTGAAGATATTTTTCCTCTGAGCAAAGACTTCTGTTGTGTAACTGGCAGTGATAGAGACTTAGTTTTCTTAATATAGGAAAGTTGTGTGATCTTGGAATTCTCCTTGTCTTTAAGCATGTGGCATAACTGCTTTTCTTTCTTGCTTTTATTGTTTAAAATAGGAATAATTACATTTGGTTTTATGAAGGGCTTTATAGCATTCTTTAACCCAATCTGCTTTCACGTTGTTTTTTATTTCCTAAACTTACAGAATCGCAGACTATACTTTAAAAGAGCTTTTGCTTAGAAGGTGTAAGCAGATACTTGCATTGCATCACTTCTGATGCAAGAATTTTCAGGAATGCAGATAACATGAAAACCGTATAAGTAAACAGTTAAGCATTGTTAAGCTTTCTTGAGTACGTTTTCCAATTTACCACAAACATATAATTTCAGACATGACTGTTAAATAAGTCTTACAATATTTTAATCTGTATTTCTTTTTTTTTTAATAGTTGTGCGTCAGAGAAGGGAAGCAGATGCTGCTTTGTTCTCAGAACTCTACAGAAAACTTAGTTCACAGGTAGTATAATAAATGTATAAAGAGGAAAGAAATTGAAGGCACATATTTGTATCCTTCTCTTGTTATAGGGTTGTTTTGAAGAGTGCTTGGGTCATTAACAATATTTTTACTGAGGTGATTGAATACTGGAACAAGTTGCCCAGGAAAGTCCTAGTCTCCGTCCTTAGAGACAGTCAAAGCCTTACTCGACATAGTTATGGACAACCTGTGGTAGACAGCTGTGCTTTGAGCATCGAGGTTGGACTAGACAATCTTCAGAGGTGCCTTCCAATCTCAACCTTTTTGTAATTTTTGTTAGAAAGCTTGCAAGTTACTTTTTGTTTTACTATGAGCTGCTTGCTGTTAATTAGAATTAGTTTGGATTTAATTAAATCAGAAGAGAATAAATGATACATTTTTAGTTTGAGTCCACTTACACGAAGGTGCACTTCACATGAAGGAAGTAGCTATGTAAAAGTAAAGTGTTCATTTTATATGCAAAGCTGATGAATTTTCTTCTGGTTTATTTTACAGCTGTGCCTTGCAAGTATGTTGAACTTATTTTTTTAATCCAGGGTTCAGACATTCCTAATGCTTTTTTAAGTGTTCCAGGTCTTTAATGTTGAAGATTAAGGGTTTGCAGACTTTGATGGTTTTACTAATACCAGTGTTAATCAAATAATACTTCATGTTGATATCCTGAAAGAAGCTGTTGTAATGTATAGAAAGCCCATAATATAAGAAGATGGATCAGGTAAAAGGGAGGAAAGATGTGAGGATAGAAATCTAGCTAAGGTAGGTGGAAAAAATGACTGTTCTAATCTGTCCTGGATTCTCTGTAAAACTGGGTATTTGGCAAGGTAGAATATGATGGGCAGTAGTAAAATAAGATTCCCAGTTTTCAATTGCACATACCTGATTTTTGACAACAAAAATTAGTTATTGTAGAGGATGTCTTCTATATAACAGAAAAATTGTCCTTATTTTGCTCTTTGTTTTAAAGAGAAATGTTTTTCTCCATTCTGCTTTTTATTAATGAATTTATGCATAGATCATGGCTGGGTTCTACAGGATAATACTAAGATTTTAAGATTACAAAAAAGAGATTCCTTGAATAGTATGACTGATCAGAATTTGGTTTTGGACCTCCCATAATCCATACTTAACTTACTCATTTGTTTGTTAGTGCTTGGAGCTAAAGTTATGGTGTAATTCTTCCTGTTTTCTTAGCTAGTAGGTTTGTGTATTACCCACATTGGTTTACAGAGTGAAGCAAGTGTCACTGGTTTGCAGACACCTGTTCCAGTGACCTCAGCCATTGGTTTCAACTTCTTCTTGCATGTATTACATGGATCTTTTAACACAGATTTTCTGGAATATGTTTCTGTAGTTTACATACTATGTTGTCATACATACATTGTATTTGGCAAGTAACATAGTTGCAGAGCAGCATGATGACTGTGAATTTTGAAACAAAATGTCTTGTTTCTAATTATATCGCTATGTTTTTTCTTCTGAATATGTAATACAAGCTTACATCTGCTATCTGCTCATATTTTGCTGCCTGCTCAGATGCTTGAGGTTCCTTTAACCTTCCATCTCTTTTTTTTTTCTACCAATTATTATTCAATCTGCTGTTAAGTATATTACTAATGGTAGACAATCATTTCCACATGAGCTTAGGGAAGGGCACAGGAGGAATACATTTGCTGACTCAATGAAGTTTTTCCTTCCTCCAGAAATTTTCTTGAAAGCAACTAAGAGAAAAAACATTGACACAAGCTTTTTTCTAACTTCACTTCATCCTTTACTCTAAAGAGAAAAGGAGATCAGTGCTTATCTTAGTTGCAACATGTGCATCTAAAAGATTTTTGCATTTGGTGTTAACTCTTTGAAGTGTTCATGTTGTAGCTTGAGCTTTAGGATTTTTCTGTGTTCTGGTGGTGATCTTTCTGTTGAGATCTAAAGTTGCTGGGAGTGTTATTCTAACAGTCTACATTTATCTGTGTATTGTTCTGTTTGCGAGAGACTGTATTGCGCATTCCTTAAATTTTGTGTTAACAGTGTCTCTAAAGCAATGAAAATGTGGGTAGCTCTCTTAAATGGCATTTAAAATAATAAAAATTGAAACCCTCAAAGGGGAGTGAAGGGGAAAGTGGAGAAAAGACAGTTCTTCACTTAAAATTATACCGAAAGTTTTCCATCTTCACCTTTAGGTTAGAGTTGCATCTGTGTCTGAGATGTGTTAAATGGTGACAATGTATGGGGAATTGTGGTAAAAGTCCAATTCTATGTAAACCTCTTTCTTGGTTGCTGTGAATTTTAAATTGAGTGTACTTGCTGATCTTAGAGCAGATGAGAGTTCATTATTTGAACATGGTGGAGAAAATTAATAAAATTAGCAGTACAGAGGCTGCACTGCACATTCCCAGTTTACTCAAGAACGAGACTCTGATTTGCTCTTATTTGTGTGGAAAATCGGTTTACGTATGTACATATTAAGCTGGATAATTAAAAAAAAAATCCATTATTATAAAGATTTAAACTAAACTAATTTCTGTTTGTCTTCATATTTTTGTTGCAGGGCATTTTGAAAAACAAATGGTCAATACTCTACCTCTTGCTTAGCCTTAGTGAAGATCCACGTAAGCAGTCTAACAAGGTAGGTGAAGAGACCAGTTTTTTTACCTCTGAGAAATGGTCAATGTGTGTCACTTATTTTGGGTGTTATTAAGAGTCACTATCCAGACTTAACCAACGCCTCAGGTTGTGTTTGTGGTGATTGTACGTGAGGCTGAAAGGAAGAACACACTTGACACAACTATCTGCATTTTTTTTCTGTAATGTTTTATATCAAGTAAATGTAAAATTGTTAGCAGTCCAATGTTTGTAACTAAAGTTGTGTCTTTTATTAGATGGGTGGGTTTTTATTGTTTGCTTTCTGCTTGGTGGTGTAATGTCTGCTCACATGCTAATGAGTTTGAAATGGGGTAGGGAGGACATAATTCCTCCTTTGGTTACAGCTCTGTTAGCACCAAAGTGCTTGTTGCAGCTATTGCTAATAACAGTTTGCTGGGAAAAATAAGCTATATTGCTAAAAATGCTTTTGATGACTGTAAGGAACTTGCTTTTTGGCCATTATAACATAATTTTTTTCTTTGCATAAAAATGATCCGCAGTTAGTTTTTACGTTCTTGAACATTACACTCCTCTTAACTAAAGACACAACTTAGAGCAACTCAAATCCTCTCCTTTTCAGGTATCAAGTTATGCCACACTTTTTGCTCAAGCTTTGCCACGGGATGCTCATTCAACCCCTTATTACTATGCCAGGCCTCAAAGCCTTCCGCTCAATTACCAAGACCGCAGTGCTCAGTCTGCCCAGAGTTCTGGCAGCATGGGGAGCAGTGGGATCAGCAGCATCAGCCTGTATGCCCTGAATGGGCCAACGCCAACTCCACAGTCACTCCTTCCTGGGTAAGTTAAACTGTTTTACCTTACAGATAGGTTTGGGAAAGACTAGAGATGATCTGTTTTTTGCTGTGTTTTTTTGTTGGGTTTTTTCTTTCCCCACCCTCCTTATTTGTATGCCATTGGAAATTCCTCTATAGGTGCATAGAAACAGAGTTTCTTAGCTGAACAAGTGCTGCCATGTGACCATGTGAAGTCATAAATGACTGGCCAAGTGTATCCATTCTTAAATTTAATCTTACCTATCTGCTTAACAGCTGATGCTTTATTGGATCCACTCTTTCAGATTCTAGTGCAAAATCATTTTCCAAATTTCTGTTATCAGAAACCCTTCAAAATAGCCTTTATCTTTCTTCTGTAAACATATCGGATTTAGAGTCTTCACTCAAATTCCTTTTAGAAAGCATTCCTAAGACAGAGTCAAATTAGTGGACTTCACATCCTCCATTTTCAAATAGGTGACCTTTCTTATAAGGTCTGGCTTTCTTTTAAGCAAGTATGCAGTAGCTTGGCTGTGGTACTAGAGCAGTGTTGCATTTGAGTGGACAAGGTGTTGGTTTTTTTATTTATACAAGAATTCATTTTAAAAAATTACCTAATAGAAAAAAAATCCTAAAACACCTACTATTGAGCAGTAATTTGTGTGTTCATACCAAGATGAATCTACATGTGAAATAGAAACATTCAAGTAATAAACAGGTGAGATTTTCAATGAGTAAAAGCTGGCCATTGTAAGCCATAAGATGATCATGCAAGTATTGACTTTGTTCAATAAGCAAACACAGACAGTAACATGCTCACAATCTGAGCTGTTATTGTGCCATTGTATATCATGGTGTGTCAGCCCTGTTACAAAGCCTAACAGAGATGAACTGCATGGAGTCTACGTTCTTTAGAGGGAAAATGAATGTGTTCATAGTCTGTGAGGGAGTGGTTCAAAGGTCATTCTGTAATATTTATGTGGAAATAGATTGCTTTGTAGAAGTTGAGCATGGAAAGTGAACAGAATCTTACAAAACTTGTAAATGTGGGGACAGCACTTACTTGCATATCTGTTTCACCCTTGTATGAAAATGTCTTGAAATAAACCCTTTGTCCAAAAGCAATGGGGACATCACTCTTCAAGAAACGGTGGTTAATGTCTGAAAGACTCAACAAAACATTATAAAAGGGAAAAAAAAATCATCATCTTAAGGGGTGCAGAAATGAGCAAAGCCCAGATACTTTGTCCAAACAGAAGCTTGATGGGTTTTGATTGTACCAAATTCCTAATATAATTTGAGTGTATCCTCAGCAAGTTTGCTGATGACACCAACCTGTGTGTTGCTGGAGGGAAGGGATGCTGTCCAGAGGGACTTTGACAGCCTTGAGGAGTGGGCCTATGCCAACCTCATGAAGTTCAACAAGGCCAAAGAGTAACGTCCTGCACCTGCCTCAGCGCAACCCCGGGCACAAGTAGAGGTTGGGCATAGAATAGATTGAGAACAGCCCTGAGGAAAGGACTTAGGGGGTATTGGTTGGTAAAAAGCTCAGCATGAGCCAGCAATGTACACTTGCAGCCTAGGAGACCAACTGTATCTGGGCTGCATCAAAAGAAGCATTGAGGAAGGTAATTCTCCCCTCTGCTCTTGAAACCTCACCTGGAGTACTGTGTCCAGTTCTGGAGCCCCCAACACAAGAATGACATGGAGCTGTTGGAGGGAGTCCAGAGAAGGGCCATGCAGATGATCAGAGGTCTGGAGCACCTCTCCTGTGAAGTAGGCTGAGAGAATTGGGGTTGTTGAACCTGGAGAAGAGAAGGCTCTGGGAAGACCTTAGAGCGGCCTTCCAGTACCTGAAGGGGCTACAGAAAAGCTGGGGAGGGTCGTTTTACAAGGGTATGTAGTGAAAGGACAAGGGGTAATGGCTTTAAACTGGAAGAGTGTAGATTTAGATATTAGGAACAAATCGTTCAATGTGAAGGTGGTGAGAAACTGACACAGATTGCCCAGCGAAGTTGTGGCTGGCCCATCCCTGGAAGCATTCAAGGCCAGGTTGGATGGGGCTTCGATCAACCTGGTCTAGTGGGAGGTGTCCTTGGCCATGGGAGGGGAATTGGAACTAGATGATCTTTGAAGGTCCCTTCCAACCTATGATTCTGTAAGGCAAATTTATGGAAATTTTAATTAAAATTTATGTCTCATAATCAGAAAAGAGACACCAAGTTATTGTCTCTTACTTCTCCTCCTTACCAACAGCAGTTGTGAAACAAACGTTGAATCAGAGTAGGTGCATTTTCAGAAAGTAGCAGTTGGAGTGTTTTTTTTAATACAGGTTGAACTAATTTATAATACTCCTATTGTAAAAATAATAACCAGTGCTGATAACAACTGGATTTTATTGTTATTAATATGCTTTATAATACAAATACTTACTTGACTTTGTCAGTACCAGATTTGTATGGTGTATCCAGCATGCACAAGGAGAGGATAACTTTAAGTGAGGAATACTGGGGAGGTCTGTGCCCCACAATGTAGTGAGAAAGTGGTAGACCCGGTTAGTAAGGAAGAGGTTCAGGGTCATGTGCTCAAGAAAGACCTCAAAAGAAATATAGCAGGCTGGAAGAAGGTCTACCTGAGTGTGCACAAAAATGAGAAATATGGAGAGGACAGCCTTGTAGTAGAAGTTCTCAGACCTTTTCTGGAACATCATCACAACTTTGCTGAAGTGCCTACACACTAACATGAAGTGTGAGGAACTCAGAAGTACAATTCAAGAGATCTCTGTTCAGTACTAGGGCTCTGATCTCATTGAGATCACAATTACATGGTGGGATAGTTCACACCACTGGCGTGTTGCGGAGGGTGGATATAGACACTTGTTCTTAAGGGTGAACTTCTAGTCTTAACATTTGACATGTTTAAGGCTATTTTTGTGAGAAGATTTTGCAGGTTTGAGTGGGAGGGAAATAGGAGCTTACGTAGATGCTTCTCAATCTTGTCTTCAGGCACTTGATCCAAACTATTCTAGGCAGTAGAGTAGCATAAAAGTTAACTTTCCTCTTTCTCTACATTTCCTTTAGTTCTTAAAACTGTAACTAGTTTTAAGTAAAAACAAAACTTAAATATTTGTTGTTTGTTATGACTGTTGTTTATTATAGTTGACTTCACTTTTAGTCCATTTCAGTATATTTACACAGTTCAGTGTGAACACAGTCATTCTTTGATATGAGATCATTTTTGTCAAATTCATACCTCCTCCTTTTCTACAAGATTTATTTTTTTGAAAGTGTAAGCTTATAGGAAGCAACAGTTTGCTTGTATGTTCTGCACCTTTTTATGGCTCCCTTAATAACAAAGCAAAACCCAAAAAAAAACTCACAAAAAAAAACCCCATCCACAAAAACCAAACTCAAGCTCAAGGCGTTTTTCAATTGTGCATTTTGCATACCTGAAGTCAGGTGATGGGTATAGAATGCAAAGGTTTTAAATATGTTTCTTCCATTTGTCCTTCTAGACAGTCCTATCAAGCTCCAAGTGTTGGAGATTGCCTCCGCCAGCAATTAGGGTCACGACTTGCATGGACTCTAGCCACAAACCAGCCTTCTTTACAAAGCACTACCTCAAAAGGCTTTTCAAATCCTGTCTCCCGTGGTGTGCCAAGGTCAAGGCGAGAAGGGGATACAAGTGGTGAGCAAAGATGCATTTGTTAAAGATAACTTTTTATAATAGCTATCTATATCCTTCAGTATTTTAAAATGATTTTGAAATAGTTTTCTAGGATGTTGATTATTTTTTTTTAGGAGTGTTTTGCTAGAAGGTATTCAATAGAATGATAGAGATAAATGTGCATGACTAGTATATTTGGTCACAATCTCTCTGGCTGGTTGCTGATTTCTCTTTGCAATGATTGGTTTGATTGTTGTGTTCTTGTTTTCTTAAAAGACTGCCTTCATTGCAGTATTAGTCAGAATCAAGTGATTACGGTTTGTGAGTAATGATCACACTTCTGATGAAGGGTGCCTACAAGAAAGCTGGGGAGGGACTTTTTTAAAAGGGCATGTAGCAACAGGACAAGGGGGAATGGCTTTAAATTGGGAGAGCATAGGTTTAGATATTAAGAACAAATTGTTCAGCGTGAGGGTGGTGAGACACTGGCACAGGTTGCCCAGAGAAGTTGTGGAACCCCCTCCCTGGAAATGTTCAAGGCCAGGTTGGATGGGGCTTTAAGCCACCTGATCTAGTGGGAGGTGTCCCTGCCTATGCAGCAAGATTGTAACTAGATGATTTTTAATATCCCCTCCAACACAAACTCTTCTGTGATTCTATGATGTTTTCCTTTAAATTAGACCGCTTACAGAGGTTGCATTTGGAACAATTGACAAAGAGTATTGTCAATAAAATAAAAAATAGATAAATATTACTGATTTATTTCCTTGATTAAGTGGCCCTAATATTGAAATTCATGCCTAGAGTATCTATCCTGTATTTACCTGGGTATAAATAAAGAGAAATTGTTTAACATATATTCTCTGTGGCAGTTGTGTAAGTTTCAACCCACTCTACTTCTACTGTAAAAGAGGGAGACTTTTCTGAATAAGAGAACTGATGGCAGATGTCATCTTACAGTGCTATTACTCTCTGGCAAAGGAAGATAAGAGATGTGGGGGTTTTATGTAGGTTTTTGGGGTTTTTTTAATAACTCCTATATAAATGAAGTGTGAGTAGTTGGAAGATAAAGTACAGTCTGCCTGCCAGCCCCTGCATCTTTAAGTAATAGTGTACAAAGCGACAGCTTGTAGACCAAACATGGTTGCATTTGTATATCTGAAGGCAGCATCTGGCATTTAGAACTTAACTGACAATGCTATTGATGTGCAAGAAGATGTGTATGTATGTATATGTGTAATATATTTGTAAATATATAGTTTAGATACATTATGGATTTAATATATAAATACAGAAAATATTTAAAGTACATAAAAATCTAGCGTTGTCTCGTACTTTTTTTGTTCTAGTTTTTATAAAGAGAAGTACAAACTTTTTTCATTCAGTCAGCGAGCAGCTATGGCTTAATTCTTGTGGGATGAGTATAAGGACTAACAGTTGTCTTAAGTGTAGTTACTTTTTGATGCGAAAATAGAACTGCATTCAGAATATAAAAGACTATTGTCAAGAAGATAGATTTCTATGATTATTATATTTTTCTAGCTAATAAAAAGTTGCTTTTTTTCTTCTGAAGTTGGTTGCTGTTAATTGGACTTTTTCTTACTGCTGCACTTGCACAGGCAGTATAATCAGTGGTATTGTATGGCTGATATTAATACTTGCATTATTTACCAAAGAAACGCACACTTGAATCTTCTACCATTTCACTTAAGAGTTCCTGAAAGGAACTAGTTACTCTTGTGCACATCTTAGTGTTACAAGGGGTGTCTGCGCTTTAAACAGACTTGAAGTGATATCTGATTTTGCCAAAATAAGAACAGAGGGGTTTTTTTGTTGGTTTTGTTCTGGGAAAGTGGATTGTGGAGGAGGTAAACTGATGAGAGTAAGAGTGCTGTCAAATTTGGGAGAAGCATGTTGTATTGTGGCATCTCAATTTCTGGATAGACATTGTTGAAATTGTTTCATTCTTGGTATCTTAAAAAAAGTTACAAAAGCAGATGGTGCAGTTTCATCCATGAAAGGTGGGAATAGTTGCAGTGGTCAGCACAGCACCTTTTTCAGTCTTCTGTTTCCTTTACTAAATATCCTAAATCTCAAACATAATCTAACCTCTAACAAGAAATATGATCCAGAAGCAAAATGTGTGCTGCAGTAGCAAAAGCTTTACTAAATCTAAATTGTATCTGTCTTCAGAAATGTTATTTACACACTTTTCTTTACCACCTCTATAGTCTTTTCACTGAGCAGTGGCATGTGTGATTGAAAGCCAATTTTAAATGAGCAGCTCTTCCTTCTGGATTAATTGTTGTTTTCCTAGCTGAATGTAAAAGAGATTGTTCTTTAAATTCCATTTAACAACTTCAGCTGATTGTTTAAAGAAAGGTTAAATTATGATGATACTTGCATCAGAACTTACTCTGGTGATTGGATCTGAAGAGATAACAAGTTCAGAACTGGCTCAAGTGTTGGTTAAAATAGGACATGGCCTGTGACACACAAGATGGCCTACTCTGAGAGAATCCCAGGTATCATTAGAGGCAGTAAAGGGATTCTTGGCCTTCCTGTTGGGTTGTTAAGAGGATTTAAAACATTTTTTTACAGGTTATAAACACAGGCTTTCTCTTTTTTTTGGCTAGGATTCTAAATACTTTTGAAGTTGTAATCAAAACTAATGTCCCAACAAATCTAAATACTGGTTGTTGTGTTTTGTGTTTGTTTTTTCTCCTCTTTCTAGGCTCTGTTGAAATAACTGAAGCAAACCTTGTAAGAGATGTGTTGTATGTCTTCCAGGGAATAGATGGCAAAAACATAAAAATGTGCAATTCTGAAAATTGCTATAAAGTGGAGGGAAAGGTACTGTATGGTCACTTGTATTCATATGTGAGCAGAGAGGTATGTAGGGGAAAAATAGCCATGAAAAATACGTTTAAAAGTTAAAATATCACAAGTCCTTACTCTCCTCCTAGCTTGTTGTTGTTGGTTTTTGATTGGTTGGTTGGTTTGGGGTTTTTTTGTACAACAGTGTAATTTCAAGAGTCCTAATTTAGAATTGATTGGGTAGCTTAGGTCTCAGAAAGAAACTAGCATTTCACAAGATGCGAATAGACTCTACCTATTAAGCCAGTACAAGGACTACTAAGTTAATGGCTTAATTTGAGGATTTTTGTCATAATATCCCCTCACTGGTGTGTAAGAATGAATATAAAGCAGATGCATTATTATTAGATTAAATTTAATAGCCTGGGATGTGGGATGGGTGCTAGCTACTTCACCTTACGGGCTTGATTACAACCTAAAAGTGATCAAACAGGATAATGCAGATCACCCAAGAAAGGACTGGTGATAGAACAGATAGTGCTTTCAACTTCTGTGGTTAGAAAATTCAGCTGATAGGAATGTGAAAGAAGATGTCAGGTAGGGATCAGAGGAACAGGAGAGAAGCCTGGGAGAGAGAAGATCTGGCTCTAAGGTCAAGGGGATGGTAAGCATATTTGAAATGTGGAAGAAAACCAGAACAAGTGAGAAAGATTGAGTCAGCTGAGCAAAGAAAAAAGCAACACTAGCTGCTTTAGCATCTTCTTCTTATTCAGTATTTAGACAGTACTGCATCACAGCTCAGTTTCAGCTAAGGTTTTCATTTTCTTGTTCAAATGGAGAGACGGTGCTTTCCATTTTCATTTGTATTAATACAACTTTATACTATGACAATGATGTAGTCCTAAAATGGTGGGAGATTGATTTGGGGCCATTTTATGTGTTAATAGCGCAGCATATGTATTGTCTTAATATTGATGATAACTAACTTCTTCACCATAACAATAGCAAAAAGTGAAATGTACAGTTGTTCCTCCTGTAACTTTACAATGACATTTAGAGCTGTGTACTGGAGGCAAAAATGGGAAACTTAAATCTTGTTAATAAACAGATTCTTAAGGATGTCATGTTCTGCAACTGTAGATGCTGCAAAGTTTGTAATTCCCCAACACTTGCACTGAGTTAATTACATTCAATGTATGTTAGATTATATAGGGCAAAGGAAAGGTAGCATAATAGATTCTTCTAGAGGAATGTGGAGGAAACTTAATCAGTAAATGCAAAATTGCACAGTGGGTTTAATTAGTTTTCTGTGTATTTTTCATTTTAAATGGGCTAGTTTGCAGTGAAAAACTTCTAGTTTGAACTCCTAATTCTTTTAATACAGGGAGTTCAATTATTTAGATGGCTTGTGTTCAGTAATGCTTTTTCTTAAGAACTTTGTATCTTGTTTTTGTGAATTCAGTTGTCTTGCATGCTTCTTTTTTTTATTGATATTTGTACTGACTACTGGATCCAGTGAAGATGAAGTTACTTTCCTGACTAGAGCTGCATCTGGAACTTTTTCTAATGAACAAGGACCAAGATCATAATTCCTCTATCTGTGCTGACTGCATGTTAGGCAAAAAGTAGTCAAAGCATGTGGCTTTCCCTCAGCTGCACAAAGAAAATGTTGTTGTATGCAATCTGTTTTTTCCAGAAAGAAACACATTTTCCAAGCTGTTATTCTTGCCTGAATGTTTCCTAATGTCAATATTAATATTAGGTCTCTTGGTGACACTCAGCACAGTATAAACTAGCAGCTTCAGATTTGATCTGAGAGATACAAATGTAATAACACTAAGCCAATTTGGCTTGTTTCTTATTTCATTTCAGCAGATTTGTGTTGTACTTAATGCTTGTCAAGTACTTGAGTTGCAGAATTCTAAGTAGTTTTTATGTCATCTCTTTGTTCTTAGCTGCATGCAGAGTTTCCATATCCAGTCACACTTCTTTGGGCTAGAATTTATCCTACAGAAATTGTTGAAGAAGATAAAGCTGTGCCTGTATCTATAAAAAAAGAGGAGAAGGGACTAAGTTGTGGTCTTTCAACCAATTGTTGCTGCCTTGTTCAGGCCCACACTACTGTGACTAACACTCTGTAGCTGATTTTTGCCTTAGAGGATGCCTGTGCTGCTAACTGAAAGGCTTAATGAATGAGCTTCATTTCTTGTTCTTTGGCAGACTGTTTTATGTTCTTCCTTGCTTTGGTTGGAACTGTTCCAGCTGACTCTCCAAGTTAAAATTGTCTGTAGAGGTGGGATAGGCCCAGTAGCTGTGGGTAAAAGTCAGTCGCTGCCAAACGTATCTGTCAGATTGTTTTTCTTTGTCCAATAAGATTTTGAAAATTTGATGGTCGAGTTCTTGGGTAATGTGACAAAATGTAGTAGAAGCAAATCTCAGGTGGGAACAAGAGGAACAGTATCTTATGTGTTGTTAATTTAAAGGAAGAAATGTGCTGGTTCAGGTGAAAATAGTGGTAGTAATAGTTGTTAGCAGGGCAGGGTAAGGTGAGATACCTGGTGTAAGAAAAGTAGAAACAGACTAGAAGAGCTCAGAGGGGTACATGATTAATTAGCTTCTAAAAGCTATTACTGGTGGATCTGACTTAAACTTGGAATTTGGATTCTGTAAGTTTTAGTTCCTGATACCAAGTCTGGCATTGGGTCATTTGTCTTCTATTAAAAATTTGTTTCACATTTAGTAGTAATTAATTACTGCTGTAGGTTTCTTCATTAGTTCCAGTCATTGACTTCTGAAGCTCTAATATTTTAAGTCGTCCTGAGTATCAGGATAAGATGAAGCATGATTCTACATCATAAAATTGCAGATTTCTTCTTTACTGAAGGCCTTTTTTGTTACTGCTGTAATTGTCTAACATAAAAACTGTATGAATAGTGTTACATTTAAGATTTCCAAAAGGGAAAATGACAAAGGTTGTAGCAGTTTATTGCTGCTGCTTTTTACACATTCGTGTGTATAAATTTAATACTAATTATATGGTTGCCTGCTTTTTGTTGGCACTATCTCGGGTGTAGAATGTGAAATGATTTTTTAATGAATTGGCGTGTTTTATGAGAAAGAGGGGCTGTCAGTAAGCAACAAGTATTGATGTGGTAGATTTAACTTACAATCAAGTAATTGTTTCTGTTAACTTTGTAGGTGAGCTTGTCCAAATCTCTCAGAGATACCACAAGCAGACTTGCAGAACTGGGATGGCTACATAACAAAATAAGAAAATACACAGACCAGAGGAGTTTGGATCGTGCTTTTGGACTTGTAGGACAGGTAGGTCAGCTAAAAGAATAATTTTGCTGCCATATATTGATCTTGTTTCACTGAAACTACTGAATAAAATGCAGTACTAGAATGATGTGAAAACTTTGGAGCTTGGATCAGTCATCTTTTGATTTATTCCTTTTATGCATTGCCACTTTTGATATGGGTCATAGTCTGAAGGCAAGGGAAAGGCATTTGCTTTCGCTGGTTATAAGGAGGCATTGCCCCTGTCATTTATATGTGGGAAGTCTCACACATAGGTTCCTTTTCATAATATAATGTTTTTTTAAAAAATAATATTTTTAAGTGCCCACGCATGTTTATAAACAAAAGCATTGCTTAAATGAGATGGTAGCATCTCTGAGCTAATTAATCACCAGTTCAGTTTTTAGGGTGACCTGTGCAGGAGACTCTCTTGTCAGCTGGTGTTGATGTTTGTTAATACAGCACTAACTTATACAAAATACAAATAGCCCATTATCTTCTGCCCTTTCTTTTGAATACAGCATCAAAGAATGTCAATTTCTGTTTTTATAGGTTTCATCATCATGGTTTCTAGTCTACAGTAACTTCACAGCTGCTATAATACCCAAAACCACATTTACTGCTAAGGCATTCCCGTTTCCTCTCACTTGCTCCCTCTGTAAAACTGGATATTATCCCTTCTGACTCGACAGAAATGTTATCATTGCCTCTAGCCATAACATCCTACCTAATCTGCCAAGAAATTGAAGTGCTTCTCCCTTCAATCTAATTTTTCTTAAGAGGTCAGTAGAGACACTGTAGTGCTTCCTACTTTTCTAATGTTTTATTCTGTTCCCTTCTGTCTCTCATTCCTAGTAATCCTTTTAGTTACATATAAATAATTATTTTTCTAGTGATCCAATGCTGATTTCTGTTTTATACGGTACTGCTACTGTACATGCATTTTCTTCAGGCTCTCCCCCTTATACCTCGGTGAAATTTTGTACCCTAGTAGCTTCCTGCTTATGCTTATTTGTACTGTCTCTGGCTTTAATCCTCAAGTTTACAGAAAGGGGAGAACTTTAATTCTTCAGTGAAGTATAATGTGCAATATCTTAGCTACCATATGCAGGTTTCAGATCCTGTCCAGAAGGCTGTGCAGTTAGTTAGCTGCATCTGCATAGCTCTAATGCTGTTAATTTAAATTGAGGCAGGCACTTCTGTATATTTCTAGGACATAAGTGTAAAGTAAAAAAATATATTCTATTACTGCTGTGTCAGTATCTGGGCAAAGAGACTGTACCTTTGCTCTTCATGGCTTTTATAGCTGACAGTTTCAGAAGCTGCACACTGTGCATGAAGAATTTCACACAATAAGAGGTGCATTCTCTAAAACATCTTTTGTGTAATGTTTTAAAGGAATGGTTGCATAAACCCCTGTTTAAACAACACGTAAAATAAGATGTCTGTCACCTCTTCTATTACTCATCTGGTGACTGATTTTACTGCATAAAATGTCAAGCATTGACAACTATTGGTAGAGATATAATAATATACTACACTTTTAACATTATATTCTTTTACCTTTACTGCTTAGTAACTAAGTTCTAATTTGTTGTCAGAAAGCAAAAAAGTATAATCAGCAATTAAATGTAACTTGCCTTATATTTTGATATCTTGCCCATCTAGATCCAGTTGAGGTGGGCATTTTAATTTTTTTTCTCTTGAACAAGCATTCTGTTTCCTTCCTGAATTCTCTTTTGCTGTAGATCAAATCAGAATTCTAGGATAATGTCCAGTTTTTCCTAACTATTTGGGAAGCAAAAGTCTGTAGTTTGTAATTTAGGAATTGGCACTGAATGTAAATTTTAACTTTTAAAGCTTCTCTGATAAGTTGACAGCCAGTTAGATCTTAAGTTATTCTGGCTACTAAAGTCTGTTGTTATTGTTCTCACTTTTTGAGTAGATGTGTAGTGCCTTTGAATGTTTTCTTGGAGGTTCTACTCTGGCCTCTATATTGGCAAGTGCTACTTTAATAGGTTTAAAAATGTACCGAAGAAGCAAGTGAGAAGAAAGTAAAAGTGGGGTTACACATAAGGGGATTTCTTTTTGACCTTCAGTATCCTCTGGAATAAAATTAATTTCAAATTTCTTACTAACCTGTAACACTGAGTTGAAGAAACAAACCTTCTTTCGTTATAAAGGATACAATGGCAAGATTGATGTTTTGTTGTTGGGTTTTTTCCCTAGGCTTCTTAGCCTCTTAGCAGGAAAGAAGATTTATTTTCTTCTTGAGCTTGTAGTAATTTCTCCCTTGACATACTGTATTGAATAAATATTTTACTTTAAGCTTTTGTATTCTTTTTGTGTGAGGTTTTATTTATTTTTTGACTGTGATGATTTTAAAAGGGACTGAGGGGAAGGCCCTGGTGAATCTCTTGTTTAAAAGGTGCATTAAAATAGATATCAAGATCATCAGCCAAGGACTGGTTAAGAAATCAGTTCTGAAGATTTTGTGCATGGAAGTACTCTTCAAAAAACCAAATAACCAAATATTTAAAAAAACAACTGAGAAGTGCTTGAAGTCCAAAAATATTCATCTCACTCTGAAATTAATGAGCCATGTTTTAATTTGGTTTTAGAAAATGTGGCAGTTTTTTTCATCTGTATGTTAGGTTAAGAACTTTACAAAAGTAAAGCCCCAGAACCCCAAACCTTAGAGAACTATTGCTGTAGTGAATAAGTGTTCTTTCAGGAGTTGTTTTTAAAATCTGCCTTTAGTTATTTGTTTTTAAACAACACAAAGTAGCTATGCTTAGAATCGTTTTACAAAGAGGGATCTTTGCTTTGATTCAGACTTGTTAACTTCTGAACGTTTTACGGATTTCTTTGGGTATTCCTAGTGTTATTAATTTCTTCCAAATCAAGCAACGAATCGTGTACAACTCTTTATTGATAAAAGCCCAAAACATAGAGTACTTAATCCAGCATCATTTACTGGGAGTAGTCTTTTATGGGCATTGTGTTTTCTTGTTCATGTCATGTGATCTATACTGTAAATACAATGATGCTTACCTAACTTCTGTGTTGTGTTATTAGAGGCCTTCCTGAAATTGAAACTCTCGTATTTACTACATACTGTATTTAATGTAATCATTAAATAAATGTTCTTCTGAGTCATGTTATGATTTGTACATCCCTATGGTAATTATTACTGTCTATTGGAGAGTTATGCTTGTCATAGTTTAATCTGTTGATAGCATTAAGACAGCAAAAGACAGAAAGCTACTTGATAATGTTTATAAAGGTCTGTGCATCTCTTAGGGAAGTACTTGTACATTGGCCATATTTCTAAGAGTTGGCTTTTGTCATGAAACCTGTAGCTTGATTTAGTTTAGGAAATTTCTAGCTACCTTTTCAGTGTGGTGATAGGATTATTCTAGATTAAACCAGGAAGATTTTTCCTGATTTTTTTTTTTTTTTCTTTTTTTCTCCTCTTTCTGTTACAGAGTTTTTGTGCAGCCTTACATCAGGAACTTAAAGAATACTACCGACTTCTATCTGTTTTACATTCTCAGGTAAGCTAGGTGGTTCTTATTTAACTTTCTTTCTTTGCTTTACGTTACCTGAATATCTCCTAAAAGGTATGCCCTTTAGAAAAGGAAGGATGTACAGCAATTTCTATTGTCAGTGGACACAATTCTCTCTAAATTATACATTTCTAAGTCTTTAGAGGCGTGTACCAATGTGTATTTTTCTCTTAGAAATTTTGTTATTTGATGTATTAAATAAGCAAGGAATATAATGTATATGTCTAAGACTCTGTCTCTTTTTTTTGAATAATTTTTATCAATTTCAGCTAGTGTGATATCTTTATCATTCAAGTCCCAAACAGCATGACATACCTTTGAATGGAGGAGAAAAAAAAATCTTTGTGTTTCAAGCAATGCGTGGTTTAGCAGCTAGTAACAACATTTTTGATATTTTGTTCTGTGCGGGGAGTTTGTTGCAAAAGTTGTTTCTTTAGCATATCAAGGAAAAAGACCGTATCAACAGCTGGAAAAAGTGATTATACATATTAATGAAAGACAGCTCTGTAAACTGGTATTACAAGGGCTGAGCAAGGATGCATCCTCTGACATCCTGAGTGCTGCAACTGTGTTGCAAGGAGCCTCAAAGGGCCAGACTGCAGAAAGGTGTCAGCTTTGCTTGCCCTTCTGGAACAGCACTTCCTTTTGTTATTACTGCAGTAGAGTAGTAGTTCATCCAGCTAGGGTTCTGGCAGGATGGCATTTCTTACTTTTTATGGATGGAGCAGGAAGCTTAAAGAAAGAAGTCAGCATTTTCAAGACTCGTGCCAAATTATCCCAGAGGTGAGCTTGGTGACTTGTTGATTTTAAAATAAAAAGTTATGAAAAAAATCCGCTTTTTTGAAAAGCACTTCCTTACAAAATTGTACATTTTAATTGCTTGAAAAGAAGAAAATTACGTAATGGAATTGAATTAACGTTGCATTCTTGTACTCTGGAGGTCATACATGCTGCCAGCTTAGGAGTTGTTAGCAGTTCGGGCATAGTAGTACGGAACAAAAATTTCATCAAAAGGTTCTGTATTGTCTTTCTCTCTCTGGCTTTATGACTTAAGAGCTTCCCCTAAACAAGTGTCTTCCTCTGAAAGTTTTTCAGGGTGTACTGTGTACTATTCCATAGGCTTGTCAAGTCTTCTCCTTGCAGACTGGTTTCAAACTGTCAGCCCCTTTAAAAATGCACTTTTGTGAGGAAGATAACTTCCCTAAAGACAAAGGCTTGTTCTTGCACATATACCTTTCATTTCCAAACAAAAAGTACATGAACTTAGGAGCATTCAGAAGCTAACTATGTTAAGGGCCTTTAAGGCTGAGCCTAGTGTGGCTACACTGATCTGATACATATATTTGTATATATGTTAAGGGCCTTTAAGGCTGAGCCTAATGTGGCTACACTGATCTGATACATATATTTGTCAAAAAAAGTGCTATGTGTGGAAGAGCAGAGTGGATTGGTTGTGGTATACGGGAAACAGAGTGTCTTCTCTAAGAGTGTATCTGCTGGGACTGCTCTAGGAACTCACTTCTGTATTAGGTTGTATTCTTGTCCTGCTTACCCCATCTATACTTGTATAAGATGTGCATTTGCATCTCAGATGCAAATATTTGGGTTTTATTTACTGTAGTGTTGGAAGATTCACAGTAGTCACTTGTGACAGATTTTTCTTAGAGCTTTTGATGTTGTTTGGGCTTTTTTGTTTGGTTGAGTTTTTTCCCCGAAGGTAGCACTTCCTTAATCTCGCTACATACCTAACATAAATTCCAATGGCTTCTGGAGGAAGACATTGAACAGAATGTCCAGTGTTGAACTACAATAAGCTGATTGTGCAGTTAGAGAAATTTTACCTCCTGCTCCCATCCTTTACTTTTTTTTTATTTACTCTTTTCTGAGCATCCCTTTGGCCAGTACTGACTGTCTTTCAGGATCTTTGCTCTCTTTTCCTTTGCTCTTCTCTCCTTTTTTGGCTATCTATGACTTTGCTTTCTTTAACTTTCTAGACCTTTGTCCTCTGTCTGCTCTATTCTACTTGTGTCCTTTCACCTGCACTTGATTCTCTTATTTACATTTGTGTGGCTCTCAGGTTTTGACTAAATGATTTTATGAGAGAACATATAATACTGGGTATTTCAAGTGTATTAGTAGAAAGCTAACTTCAGAACAAAAATTATGTAACAACAGTTCTGCTTTAATTTTGCCAGTTTTGTTCTTTGATATGTCTTTCTGTTTCTAATTTGAGCAGTTGCAATTGGAAGATGATCAGGGTGTGAATCTGGGACTTGAGAGCAGTTTAACACTTCGCCGTCTCCTAGTCTGGACATACGATCCTAAAATAAGGTTAAAGACCCTTGCAGCACTTGTTGATCACTGTCAAGGTCTGTTTAATATTTATGGAGAAGTTGTATGACTTAGAGCAGTTGTACATGCCAAAGGTGGATATTAATAGTATTACTGTTGTGGTTTTTTAGATTTTGAGTGGCTAATCCAAAGGATTCTTTCAGTTTTAGCAAAAAACTGATTAATCACAGTGCTGTTTTGATTCACCTAAACTTTTTTTTTAAATTTAAAACTAGAATGTGCTCGAGAAAACCTTCAAATGCTGTTTTCAATAATTCACTTTTGGTCATCTTTCAGAGAATGTTACACTGTGGGGAAAAAACCACTAATACACTATGAAATGGTTGGCTTGGTCTGTTCACTATGCATGAGTATTATGCTATTGCTCTATATATAGTGACATAGGAATAATTTGCATCTTGTGTGCAGATTCATGGGAAACAGTGAAACTTTATAAATCTGCAGATAGTGCATGTCTGTGTTGCCAATTCACAAGATGTTGAGGAGTGGTGCTGGAGTTGGCCATAACTTTGGCCCACAGCTGACTTACGCTTCTCCCTGAGGGTATTTCAGCTTTGCTCTCTTTGAAAGTAGATGGAGATTATGGCCTTTGGGAAAGAGCATCTTAACCAAAAAAGCTTACAACTTCTGCTTTACCTTGATTATCGGAATTGGTAACAGTTTTGAAAAGGATGAGCTTTGCTTTTAAGACATTCATGAAAATTTGGAATGCTACATCCTGTGCTGCACAGAACTTTTTAAGCTGTGCAGTGTAACAACAAAACAAGAGCTAGATTATTTTGTTTTTAAATTTTTTTTGGTCAGCTTCTTACCTTTCAACTGTAAAAAGGAAATATTGCCCAAAGGAGCTATGGGGAGGACTATAATAAAGAAGCAGGAAAGATGTGTTTGTCTTTATGTACGCACACAGAACTTCTGAGAGTCAAGCACAGGAAAGAAGGCAAACACCATGGCTTCTCTAATGCTTTCTGGTGGAGCCATGAGGAAGAAAAAAAGCATACAGTCAAACTGTATGTGATCTGATGTTTCAAGGTTTGCATTTCTCCAAGCTACCATAAAGTAGACAGAACATGGTATGAGAGAACTGTGCTTAATGCTTCAGTGAGATTAATGATTCATACCTTAAAGCCTAAAAATTCCCTGTCAACATTAAAAACTGTACTTTTGCTACCTTTTAGAATTGCTTGTTGAGCAAACTCTGAGTGTCATATGACTAGATAAAATCAAAGGTAGATTAATGTAAGTGTGGTGTATATTTTTCCTTCATACATTTCTGTTCATCTCCCCTATCATCTTATAGGAAGAAAAGGGGGTGAGCTAGCCTCAGCAGTTCATGCCTATACTAAAACAGGAGATCCCTACATGAGATCTTTGGTTCAGCACATTCTTGGCCTAGTATCCCATCCTGTACTGAATTTCCTGTATCGCTGGATTTACGATGGAGAGCTGGAGGATACATACCATGAGGTAATCTGTGTGATGCAATAAATGGTTCCTCTCTGTTTGCTTTGTGAGAGTATAATCTATAGGAAGCTTAGAGGAGAGTTTCAGTCTTCTTCTCTGGATGCAGTCCTGTGTGATGTGCTTTAGGTGATCCTGCTTTAGCAGGGGGGTTGGATTAGATGATCCCTAGAGGTCCCTGCCAACTCTGACAATTCTGTGAGCCTGTGATTCTGTGAAAAGGAGACTGTGATGGAAACATACAACATAAGTAATATAAACAATAATAACATAAAATATGACTCCCTGCATGGATTCGGTCAGCATGATGTCTGGAGGTTGCAGTGATGCAGTATTTTGTCTTTCATGAATTATATGCTGGGTCTATTTAGTAGAGGCAGAATGGTGGGCTAACAATAGATTCTTGCTTCTGAAGAGAGACAAAGTCATCTCCCTCTTTTTCTGCTTAGTGTAACAATAGCAATGTATACAAAGTGCTTTGTAGCTGTTTGGAATGAAAGCTTTATATTTGGAATAAAGTTGAGAATATTCTACTCTGACTACCTGCTGTTCTCAGCTTCGTAAGTAACTGATTTGTCAAATTGACTAGAACAGGTTTATGGTTCCAGAGTTCCTCTAAAACCTATACAAAGTTATTCTGTAGTCTTTAACAGCAAGCTGTAGTAACTGTCCCTTTTCTTCTTAAAAATGTTTTTATGCCTTTTCTACTCTTCTAGCTCTTTTTCCTGTCTCCAATCAGTACAGGCATGTTAAAGTGAGATTTTTTTGGTTCCAAGAAGTGAACGAATCGTATTTAAAAAGGAATTGAGCACTTCTGAGACACATCTGAGTAACTTAACCTGAGTATAAAAATACACAGATTTTTTTGAAACTGACCATCTGAGTCAAAAGTAAAATGAGTGCAAATATCACTCACAACTGATCTTTAAGGTCAGCATTAGGAGACTTGTGTAAAATGTCTGTGAATGTTTATGTATAGAAATGCAAAATGGACTTTTTTCCTAGCTATCCCTCAGGCTTACTCTCATCTATAGTTTATTGTATTCTGTTTCAGTTGGAAGTGACCTATAATGATCATCCAGTCCAACTACATGACCAATTCATGCTTTAACCAAGTTAAAGCAAATTGTTAAGGGCATTGTTCGAATGCCTTTTAAATACTGATGGACTTGAGGCACTGACCACCTCTCTAGGAAGCCTGTTCCTGCATTTGACTAACCTTTTGGTAAAGAAATGCTTCCTAATGTTCATTTATGAGGTGTTGTCTTTTTTTGGTTTTTATGTAAGTAATTGACTTTCAACTCCTTCTTTAAAAATTTATATATGCACTCTAAAAGTGTTCATAATGCTGAAAATCACTGTTGGATGCGGTATACTGTAAGCTGCAGTTTTCATACTACAGACAGTTTTTTAACAACGACAATTGACAGTTCTTGGTGGAAATGGTATTTGGAGGCAGTGAAAAAAGGTTCTTGTACAAAAACTGATGTGTTTGTTTGATAGGAAGAGGACAGAATCCTTCCACAAGTCATTTTAGCAAAACTAGCCATGAGGATTTAGTTTTCTACAAATGAAAGTGTTGCCTTGTGTGGAGCTGAGAAACCTTAGCTTTTGAGCATCAGTCCAGCTACAGGATTTCTTGGTGGGGTTTTTTCTTCAATTCTGCATCTGTTAAAATAGGAAGAAACCCAAAAGGGCTTGAGTAAAAATAGAACCAGCAAAATAAAAGCATATTGTATTTACGTTTTGAACTTTATCTTCTCCCCTAACTGTGTAACTAATTGCCTCAAAAATGCTACACACTTCTCTCTTTTCTAGTGGATATTTCACAGATAGTGCATTTTATTTTACCCTGTGGTACTTAAGGTTTTATAACACACAGAGGAGATGAAATTAAGTAAGGTGAGCTCATATTGGTCAAGATAAAATTTACGTATCAATTGTCAGGACATCTTTATATGTTATCTATGGAGATTTTTTTCCTTTTTTAGTTAAAAGAACAACTCAAATATTTTTTCAGCTTTCTGAATATAGAAGAGGAATATGAACAGAGAAAGTTACATTAATCTTTTAGTTTTAATATTTATTTCAATCTACAGTTTTTTGTAGCTTCAGATCCTACAGTTAAAACTGATCGACTGTGGCACGACAAATACACATTGAGGAAATCAATGATCCCTTCTTTTATTACAATGGAGCAATCCAAAAAGGTATGTTTGCTCTCTGCTCCTGCTTAGATTTCCATCAAGAAAATAAGCAGAATAAGAAAATAAGAATCCAAATTAACAAAAATAAATCATCTTGAGAATAGCTACATTAATAAAATTGTTTGCAGAGGAAGACTCTAAGACTTTTGTTTCTGTTCATCAATTGGAGAGAATCAGTTTCTAGAGATATCAAGGAAGGAAAAGTTTGTGTTGAAAACCTTGTCATTAGTACTGAAGTTCTGGATTGCTGTGGCTGGGATCGTGAAGCTGAGAGCATGGAAAGATGACAAAATGTCCTGTTGTCTTGGTGGTTGTGGGTGGCTTTTTAAAAAATTTTTGTTTTATTTTTCTTATATGCAAATCACTTTGAAAAATGCTTTTGCACTTAGGTCCTCCTAATAGGAAAATCCATAAACTTCTTGCACCAAGTTTGTCATGATCAAACTCCATCCACAAAGATGATTGCTGTGGCGAAGTCTGCGGAGTCTTCAAAAGATGGTAGAGTATCTGTGTTGGTCAACTTCTTCCCTTTGAACTGAGATCTGTCTGTAAAGTAAGTAGTTTAGACTATAGACTGACGTTCTGGATAGTGGGGTAGAAAGAATACAAAAGTCCCATCTACCTTAAAATAAAGGTGTGTTAATGGATACTTGCATTGTCAAAAAGATGTATAAAGATGTGTGTGAGTCATTTTCTTTTCCTAATTTGGTAGGTTTGGTGGATGATTGTTAATGTACTGGATTTCTGAGTGAAACTAGGCATGATCAACCTGCTTTCAGCTGAGTTTTGTTGGGAGGGATACAAAAGGAGAATGGATATTGTTGAGTGCTGCAGCAAGAATTTAATGCTTGCGACTTATACTCCATCATATGATTCCATAAAAATACTGAACTAATTCTGTGATTTAAAAAGTAATAAGCCATTAGTTGTAACTGAAAGATTAAGCAGAAAACCAGGCAGAACAGAAGCCTTTCATAAATGCATTGTACCACTATAATATGTTTGAAGACAGTGAAATTCTTTTTGAAGATTACTTAAAGCTGGTGTTGCCAGCTGTTGAATGTTAAACCAGAGCTAACTATCAGAATTCATTCAGATTATTTCTCTCTATTTAGAAGATATTTCAGTTTTAATTCATTAGGAGTTATATACCATTTGCAGTTATTCTCTGGTGGCATATTTTGCAATAAAGTTAGCATTGTTATGATGAAAGACAGCAACAATAAACATGTACCACAAGAATATGTATAGATACTTGGCAAATAAGGTAACGCTTAGGATTCTGCTACATCTGGGAGAAAGGAGAACTTGCTTGCATTTGGTGAGGGTGGTATTTTACTTCAACTTCTTTTTGTAACTCATTTAATATATCAGAGAGAGTCTTAATTAAGATGTAGATCACTGGTATAATTTCTTTGATGCTATTTTGTACATAGCTTTTACAATGATATGGTAGTATATCCAGATTTTCCTAAGAGAAAAATTGTCTAAACATTTGGTTTTCTGTCAAGTTATTTACTTAGTTCTCTTAGAACATCCTTCTTTTCACTTTTTTGACATCTTGTACAGTATCTCTTCTGTTATTTCTGTTCTCAAATATGACTTTATTATATGTAACTTCAAAGCTTGGTTTTGTGGGATTATCTTTTTTTCCTGCAGATTAACCTTGGATTAGTTTTTATATTTACTGTTCACAGTATGTACTCTTAGCATGAGTACCTCAATGAATGGTGTTCTAATAATGAAATCTCACTCATGTCTGCAAGAATATTTAATACTGTGATTTTTATACCATGCACTCTGCTTGCCTAGTGAAAGATGTGCTTAAATGTGTGGAGAGGAATAGGGGTGAAGTGGATAAGGGCTGTAAATGTGTTTGAACCATCATCTTGTCAGCTACTCTTGAAAAAGACAAACACAACCTTTGGGTACACTACTTTTACCACTTTACACAGTATTTATGGCCATGCTTTTCCAATTTTTTTTGCAGTTTGCACTTGTGATTCTCTCTCCTTAGTTGAATGGAAGATGTGCACAAATACAGGTTTCCTATTATGTTGGGGATGAGAGCTTCAAAGCAAGTAGTTTATCTTAAGTGCTGAGAATACAGGTTTCAGAGGGAAGTGTAGCTATAGAAATGGATGTTACCCATTCAATCCAGAAAGAACATTCTGCATCAGTGATGTTGGAAATCCTGTCCTCCTTGTTTGTGTGATCTGAGAATATCTTCAGAGTTCCTTTAGAGGATTACTGTTACAGTAAGCTGATGGAAAGCTAGTATGCCAGCCTGAGTTCTGGATGCTTTTTCTCATTTTGAATATCAGCATTTCATAGGTTTGGCTGTATTTTTTTATTTCTTTGTGTTGGAACTTTAACTCTCGTGTTTCTTTTTTTGTTTCAAAGTCGAATGTGTATTCAACTTTGAAAAAAATGTCTGAATGTGCATTAAAACAGGAAATCAGGGATACAGAACAGTGTAGGAATTGGTAATCTTGCCTGCCAGAGGATGGCAGCAGACTTTTGGGGAAGGATAGTGAAGAAGGCATATAAAGTGATCCTAATTCCAGTCTCTAGCTGTCTACAGTTTGGGAACTTCTGGACTGTCTGCATTACATGTTGAAACTAACCCTGGAGCAGGCAGTGCACTCTTGTCCACTAATTTGGTACCTGGATCTTATTTTTTTTTCCCTTTTGAGCAATAGTTATGTAATTAAACATTCTTAGAAGTGGAGGTATATCTTTTAGTGATGAAGAAGGTCTGAAGCTTATGATAGTTGGCAGTCCAGTGTCTGGGTTTTTGCTCCATGTTGCCTGTAGAGGCCACACTTCTTGCTATGTCAGAACAGTTTTATTGCAGTCCCTTATTAATAATCTTGTATTTGTAAAAAAGCTTATTAAAGGATGGTGTCCTGCTTTCTGTCCCCAATTTGCATAAAAGGTGGAGAAGAAAACATCAGGTTATTGGCTGCCCCCAGATAATGCAACCATATTTCCTCCTCTTTTACTCAGACATATGTGAGAGCCCTTTTTTTGTTCAGTGTGCTGACTGATTCTTCCATTTCTCCACCCCCCACCATTAAAAGTGACTCTGATTTAGATCACCAGTCCAACAAAGCTTTTCTCTAATTCTAAGCTTTTGGATCTCCTTCAAATAATTTTATTCTGTAAATTGCAATATTTTGGCAAGCTAAAAAAAAAAATAAAAAAAATCACTATCTCTGTAAGAGTGATTCAATAATATGGGCTTTTATTGGAAGGTACAAGTTGGGCATTGATTAAAAGTAATGCTGTTGAAGTATGGGCTGCTTTAGACTTGCTTTCACTTTGGCTGTGCCACATTTGTGTAGTATAGTGTATCAGAATTTCTCTGCTTGTATGTTTCAATTCCAAAGATTTTTTGCCTCAGTTTTGGAAAAATATTAATACTAATTTAATTTTAACTTTTTTTTTTTTAGCTGCTGATTTGTTCACAGATCTGGAAAATGCATTTCAAGAAAAGATTGATGCAGCTTATTTTGAGACCAGCAAATACCTGCTGGATGTTCTCAATAAGAAGTACAATTTACTGGAACATATGCAGGCCATGAGGCGCTACTTACTACTTGGTCAAGGAGACTTTATCAGACATTTAATGGACTTGCTCAAGTAAGAGAGTAGGAAGGGTAATTATGTTGAAATTCTGATAATTGCAAATGTGCATGATCAGCACAGAATATGTTTTGCTTTTGGAAGAGGACCCTTTAAATATCTTATTACTGAAAGGTTTAATGGCACAACTTTTAAGTTATATTTTGGGTTTAATTTCCTTGACCTTTAACTTAGCTTTTCCTTTTTGGTAGGAAGTATATACAGAACTGTTTCACAGTGTCTTGAGAAGTTGCACTAATATAGGTATGTTTACACTGACCCTGTGCCAGCCAGCCTCAAGGATGTTAACAGTTCTCTCACTCCTGCCAGCAAGTTTAAGCAGAAAAGTTCTGTTGTTCTTAATGCCATTAGTTAGACTTGCTCTGAATGTTAGACTTCTGTATTTTGGAGGTGTTTGGTCAAGGACATTGTGTCCTTGAAGCCCTAAATGTGTTTAAATAAATGTAATCAGTGCCTCACCAGCCTCTGTTTTAAGCACTCAGGTGCACCCACTGGTGTCAGTTTCATTTCTTGAAATGTATTTGCAAGCTCACTGCTTTACATGCTGGTGCTACTGGAAACTTAACCTACTAAAAGTGTTCTTTACAAAGCTTTCCTTTGGTCTAGAAGTCAAGCTTTGTAATAGCATTTCCCTTCTCTTGTTAATAACAATAATCAGCATCGTCTAGTGATGATTTCTATGTGACCATGCATTTTTAAACGAAAATTGGTATGAAGCAGAGTAAAGTTGGTTTGTGGAGTCAGTGTTACATTTGAGGCAGAAATAATGCAGGGCTTTCCAGTACTGATTGTGGGGAAGAGGAGATGTCCAAAATACTTGTTACTTGCAAGTTGCAGCTCTTTGGAAAGTTGAAGTTATGTAGAGCTTTGTCTGCTTCTGCCAGCACTTCTAAGCCTGTGAGATGGCTACCAGTAAGTCTTTCAAAACTGAAATGAGATAACTGATTTGATGTGTAAATGATATAATCTGCCTCATTTTAGAGATAAATGCAACTCAAATTACAAAATAGTTATGCTAGCAGTCTTGGCAATTTCAAATTACTGGCATTAAATGAGGATAAAGTTATTCCTCATGCTGATGTTGGGGTGTATAGCTGCACGTAAACAGACAGCTTGAAATATTTTGATCATTGATTTTCTGCGTGGGTAAGACTGAAAGAGTAATACAAGATGTTTTGAAAGTCTGTCAGAAAAGTGTTTCAGTGTATGCTGCAGTTACTACCAAATTGCTACTGCAGAATATCTCAGTAATATGGTATGACTGTTTGTTTCATAACCACCAGGCCAGAGCTTGCACGACCAGCTACGACCTTATATCAACATAATCTGACTGGAATCCTTGAAACAGCGGTGAGGGCAACTAATGCCCAATTTGATAATCCAGAGATTCTCAAACGACTCGATGTTCGACTTCTGGAGGTCTGTTGCATCATGATGAAGCTGACCTGAAACATACCTTTGTTTTGTGTGTGTGTGTATACATGCAGATATCTATATGAAATAACATTTTCATATGCTTATGTAGTAAATGCTTCTACCCCCTCCTTTGCATTGATGTCTTTGAGTTATGCAGACCTCATTCAGTAAGTCGTCTTTTTCCAATTACTGACTATTGACTATTTGTATTCCCAGCTGTTGGTTTACAGCTGTTTCCTTGACAATACAAAGTTGAGTATTTGGGGTCTAACAATAATTGATGCTGGTGGCCCTGATTTGAGGTTCTGCAAACAGCTACTACCGCTGTTGCTCTTACAAGAATCTGGGGGTGGTGTCTTTGTCACCAGTAATTGCAAAGAGTGAAGCAATGAAGGTGCATTTCATGGAGGAGACTTCAGTTAAGGAACTTGAGTTAATGAAAAAGCTCCAGTCCCAGAGGTAGGGGTTAACTGATGTGCTGTAGCATCTGCATTGGGTCTATATCTTAGTCTGAGACCTGCCTAAGAAGTTTTTCCTCCTTCATTTCCTTTACTGGCTCCAATGGAAAAACATTGACATTACAAACATCAACATTTGGGTGAGATGAATCCCACCCATGTGTCAATATTTGGTTCATTTTTTGCAAGGAACTTGTGTATCTTGTATGGATTTAGATGCTTGGTTTTTTTTCATAACCTATGAAGAATGAAAGAGGAAGCAAGAATTGCTCTTGCTAGTATGCTCTGATTATGTACTGAAAGTAGCCTCTCTTTTTGATACAGGTATCTCCAGGGGACACTGGATGGGATGTCTTCAGCCTAGACTATCACGTTGATGGGCCAATAGCAACGGTAATCTCATAAACTGCTGTCTGTGAACGTCTCTGATAATTAATTGAATTGTTAAATATTCTTTTATTGAAATAATTTTTTAAAAAATTGTTATTCTGGAATTTTTGGCATCTAGGATGCACCCAGTGTGTAAACACTTGAGCCAAAATCCCGATTTGTAGAAATTAATTGTGACGGCTGAAAAGCTACATTTAAAACAATCATTACTGAAAATCAGTAGTTCATTTGTTCCAGCAGAGATTTTAGCAAGTACTTAATAAATGGAGTCCTCCTTCCATTACTGCTAGCCTGTAGCTGCTAATTTGGGATAATTTACAATGAACTGAAGAATCTATTTGAGGAGAAGCTATTTGTACTGCCTAAAGGAGATTTGATAGGCAGTGTTTGTTAAAGCTACTGAGAAAATATCTGCACTATTGATCAGAATGTATTTAGCCTTTATAAAGAACTTGTGAATAACTTTTTTTTTAAACAAGACATCAAAATGTGAGTCTTAACAGCATAAGGAATTTTCATGTATATATGTAGTTTGAAAAGAGTGGAATGTTTAGCATTTTTCATGGTCGCCCATTCATAGACTTGGTGCAGTGCCCTATGCTTGCTTGAATGTTAGGTAATTCAGTTCCAACTCTTGAGGGAGGATCTGGGATTTCCAGGGATTTTGTTTGGACAATATATACCAATTAACTACATGGGTCAGATACAATTTACTGTGAACTGAGCACATGGTACGTTTATTAAATTTGTACTGATATTTTGTTTATTTTGTAGGTATTTACACGTGAATGCATGAGCCATTATCTAAGAGTATTTAACTTTCTTTGGAGAGCGAAGCGAATGGAGTATATTCTTACTGATATATGGAAGGGACACATGTGCAATGCAAAGCTTCTGAAAAGTATACCAGGTGAGAGAGACCCCAATGAGTGACAACCTTGTAAACTGGATTTATCTGTCTGCAGCTTTTTTTAAACTGTATTAAGAGGGGAGGGAAAAAAGGTCTGTTGGAACAGATGAAGTTTATACTTTGTCGCTCCTCTTGACTGTTTAGTGGTAGAGGATGATGAAGATAAAATAGTATTATTGGAAACTGAGGTTTCCTTTTGTTTTACTTAATCCTTAATTGTGAGGTTTTGTAGACGAAACATCACATGTTTCTGGACAGAGACTGGTACTCTTCCATCCCCTTTTATTAACCTTTGTTGATGCTTTCCTGTGTGTACCCTGTCTCTCCCTCTTTCTTGTGCTGGAAGACTTAAGTCTTGTATATGCACACTTCAGAATTTACCTTCAGTCATTCCCTGTGTTTTTGTTTAGCCAAGAACAGAAGGAGCTAAGATAAAGAGAAATACAGGTTAGAGAAGAAATAGGAAAGCTCTTAAGTGAGTAGTTCTGATGTACATTTAATGGACTGGGATTTTGTGATCTCAGCTGAGAATATAGTCATATTTGTACTAGTTCCATCATGACTTTTCTACTGAGCTACATTTCTCTCAGTAAAAAAAAAAAAGCTATTCGGGATATAGATGACTTTGTGGCATAGTAATATTTTAAAATATATGTTTCTATAATGAGAAACTGGTGGGTGGGAGTAGACACCTTTGCCTCAGAAGGTTTCTGGGAAGCAAGCTCTCGTAAAGTCTGCTCCAGTGCACAAGGATGATCTCTGGATGGAGATTACTAGATTCCATTTCTGTTTCTGCGAGGTACGATAGTTTACTCTCATTTTCCTGTCCCAGATAAGTGCTTGTTTGACTAAAAACCAGCAGCCTAGAGCACTCCTGCTTTCTGTTCTCTTTAAGACTGTGATGCAGTTAACAGATTTTATTCTCATCACCTGAGGGTCTTCAAGCTGAAGTTGTCTCCTATTGCCAGGGTTTTGCATCTTCCCTTTTTCTTAGAGGGAAGTTTGTTTTTTCTTCCCCCCTCCCCTCCATCCTTTTGGGAGGCCTTTCTTATGCTTTACCATGGAGCAGTCTTCTGTAGATAAAAGCTCAATTGCTTGTCGCCTTTAGGTTTGGCTACATTTTAAGTAACAGAGACATTTAAAATGCTGCCCAAGCTCTTAGAGATATTGTTGGCAGAAGGAGCAGTGTTGTATTTCTCAGTTTGTGCCTCTGACAAATAAGAATGTTTATAAAGACCTGTACTGCCTCCTGCTTTGAGGGACAGGAGTCTGTCTTGTTTACCAGCATGTCTACATTAGAAGCTGCAAGTAACATTTTTAAAGAAATACATGGAGAGTCCAATCCAGCACTGATGTAGGCAGAAGCAGTAGAACTTGCTTTTATTTTCTCGCTCTCCCTAGAAACCAGTACTTTGCCCTTCCAGTCACAGAGCCAGTGACTTATTGGAGGAAAGAACTGAAGAGTCTTTTGTTTTTCAATCACAAAGAGGCAGCATTGATTTTCAAGGGTAGCATTATTCACAATTCCCAAAAAGTCTTTAACAGCCAGGGATTTTAATGCTCAAAATGAGCATTTGTAGACAGTAGTAGACACTCTTTTTCTATGAGTAATTTAAAGAAGAAACACAGATGTATCCAACTTCCTGCTTTTGAGGAATTTAGGTTGTTTAGCCAATCCTATTTTTCACTGACCCTATTTAAAGTAGGTGTAACATAGTGTGTTAGGCATAGACTTCCTGCAAAGGCATGAGAATGCAAGAGGGTACCTTGTTGTAAAATATTTAAAGTAATTGGATGGTCTGTAACATCCTGAGATAGAAAAATGTAGAATTCCTTTTGTAGTAGTCTTTTAGCTTGTTGTCTGCAGTAGAAAATTACTTCCTCTGTCTAGATATCTGCCTGATTCTAGAGACTGAGTATCTTAAGATACTTTTTGCAATTGATGGTAATCTTGATAATACCCTTCTGCAACAGAGGTACCTTCTCTTACAGGTGAGCAGCTGAGGCCATTAGTGCCTTACCTGTAGGTCTCTGGTGGTTGAGGAAATTGAACCTGGACCACATGATCCATAAATTCCCTACCTGAGTCGCAACCATCCTCTCTCTTGGTCTCAGTGTACCTAAGTAATGCCACATATCCAGTCTGTGGTTTGAAAGCTAATGGTAAGAGATGAGAGGTCCCAGAAGGAACTGCAAATTTGTGGCCTTACATTTTCAGCCAGAAGAACACATGGGATATTAATTGTGTTTTGGAACTGAGAGGGTTTTTCTCAGTTCTGATACTCGGCTAGTTCCCAGCACTGTCTGAGAACACAAGTCAGTGTCATCTTTGGCTAATATTTTCTAGGAGTAAGTTATGCAATGTTCATTGCTCAACTCTTGCCAGCCAGTATGACTGCTACTATCCAAAATTAGTAACTGATTTATGAACTATTCAGTTTGGTAGAAAAAAGCTGATTTGATGGCTGTGGTTGTCTTTGCCAACTTTAACATGCCATCTCTTTTGAATTTTTTTTCAGAGCTTTCTGGGGTGCTGCATCAGTGTCACGTTCTGGCATCAGAAATGGTCCATTTCATTCATCAAATGCAGTATTACATTACATTTGAGGTATACTCTCCACCCAATTAGTTGCTTAAAAATTAAGTACTTTTGATATTCTGTATGTGTTGTGTGTCTTAAATTTCAAAGTGTTTGTCATCTAGCAAATCAAAACAGCCCAATCCTGAATCATTGTTCCAGGTGCTTGAATGTTCGTGGGATGAACTCTGGAACAAGGTCCAACAAGCACAGGACTTGGATCACATCATTGCAGCTCATGAGATTTTTCTAGACACCATCATAGCTCGATGCTTGCTGGATAGTGATTCCAGGGTACGTCTTCTCCTTTGCATTAAACTGTAACTTTGTGATCTTGGCTTATGTGTTGGGAACTCTCTTCTCACATGTTGTTAGGAGCAAGGGGAAAAATAAGTTTTTCTTCCTATGATACAAGACTTTATTATGATAGGCTCTGTACATACCCCCCTAACAGAGTGACAGATGCTGATTTTAAAAGGGGTTACAATATGGGCCAGGTTTTTTTTGGTCTGAAGAAGCTGTGGGATCGTGCAACAACTGACTTTGGGCTTTGCAAAACAATCTCTCCAGCTATGTGTGGGACTTGTGACACTATGTGTAAAAAGATTTCATTGACTTGTGTTCTGAAAAATGTTAGCAACTTAAAACTCCTTTGCTGTACAACTCTTTCACTGTTTTTTTGCCTGTCTCTCAGGAACTTCTCAACCAGCTTCGAGCTGTTTTTGATCAGATCATTGAGCTCCAGAATACCCAAGATGCAATGTACAGAGCTGCTTTGGAGGAGTTGCAGCTGAGATTGCAATTTGAAGAGAGGAAAAAACAGCGTGAGCTTGAGGTACAGTAAGGTTATTACTAGAATGTGAAAAGTAATTGAGGCAAATGTAGTTACCTTTTGATATATGGAGGGTTTTAGGTGTTGTGTAGAAGTACAGCAAAAATAAGAAATGTAATTGGGACAACTGTAGAAGTCATCAGCAGTAGCTAGTGTCTTGAAACAAAACTGCTGAATGATGTTTTTCATTTCTGTCTTGCCCAAAACCTCTAGGTGAATAGATTCTGCAGTGTGCTGAAGGAGGGTGAGAAATTTATGGCTGTTTTAGCTGAAGGAAGTGGAAGAGGCTTCAATATTCTGAACCTTTTTGCAAAATATGCCATGGCTTCGTGCCTTCCTCCCTACTGCCAGTCTGTGGAACATGCAGTGCTGGTGTGAGACTCACCTGCTTTGCTAAGCTCACATTTTAATGTGCTGCACACCATCAAGGAGACTGATAGTTTCAACATTAGAGGCTCCATATTTGGCTTTCTGTGGTAATAGTTGGTTTATATAAACATGGTGGTGGCCCAGTTAGCAACTTTCATCATGTGATACTTGACATCTTAACTCATTTGGTCCCTTTGTAGGGCAAGTGGGGTGTAACTGCATCAGAAGAGGAAGAAGAGAGCAAGAGGATGAAAGAATTTCAAAACTCTATACCCAAAATGTGCTCACAGCTCCGACTGCTCACTCATTTTTACCAGGTGCCCCATAGATTATGTTTGTTTTAATATGGATGCTGAGCTTTGATACATAGAAATCAATGTCTAATATGGATTAGGTGTAACTTCTGTATTTGTGTGTGCAGTTGGTGAATTGAGGTCTTCATGTTTTGCTTCTGCCTGTATTCACTGTTCCTCAGACAGCAGGTTTTGTGGTGATGTATGTTCCCTTCACAAAGAAGAATAGGAGACTTCATGTAAATCTCCTTCTTCTAGTAGTGAAAGTAATAGCTATCATCTGGTCTTCTAAAAAGAAAAAAATAGAAAATATATATCTATAATATATATATAATATAATTCCTTCTGTATTCCAATTTTTCCTACCATCCTTGCAAGTCATTGCTATTAAAGACTGCAGAAAGGGTCCTTATTAAGGGCTTGACAATTTTAAGTTTATTGAGAAGGGCAGTGCATAAGCTGTTTAAGGGAACATACACAGGCTCTTTTCTTTGGGAGCTATTCTGACTTTGTCTTAATTTATTATGTCTGGTTCTAAAACTACCATTCCGCAGGAAAACCAGCTGTTAGATTTTCAGGGAAGGCATTTCAGAAAGCGGTGAAAAGGGGGGACACAACACTATGTGCGGTACCAGCCTTTCAGAATTAGACCCCAGGTCAACTGAAAACCAAAACCTTACCCCAGTTTGTCTCTGAATTTTGACACATTAGATAATTCTGATGTCATGTAGTACTCCTCTTATTTTTCACCTTTGGCATGTCTGAAGTTAGGACTCTTTTAATGTTGTTGATACTGAGTTTGAATTAAAGCTGTGGGCCCTGCTTTTTTTCCTTCTTGCTGTTAATATTTCTCGTAGAATCATTGAATAATTTCTGTATATTCCTTAATATCCATAAATACACACTTTGACAAATACTAAGCATGTAAACATGCATTTTTACCGTGGTTAAATTAATGATGTTGAAGTTGTTTTGCAGGGTTGTTGCCCATATGTTCATTTTACCTTCTAAGAGTGCAGTTGGTTCTTTATAGCAGTTGTAGTTGTGACTTAGCACCTGTACGGCATGTGCAGAGCACTTGCTAGTCCTTCTCTCTGGTGTTTTCCATCCGGTCCATCTCTGTATTGCCTATAGCTTTGCCAAGTTATAGCTAGCCTGGATTAAGTGCTACGTTATCAAAAGAGATCAATTCACATGGAAGTTTGAAGGAAAACAGAATAGTATTTATAAACCAGGTTACACAATCCTGGTGGCTTTTGTTGAAGGCTGTAGAGATCCTGAGCTTTCGCTCAAGGACTTCAGATCTGGGAGGAATTTGCTCCTGGGTCCAAATACTGCAGTTCTCCCTCCCAGTTAACGTGAAGGCTGTGAATAGATTGTAGTTTGTGTGCTGTACAGGTTTTCTTCAAGTTGGCAATGTAACTTTTGCCTGCTTGGACTGCATTTCTGCCGAGCCCTGCTACAGATCTTCCATGCAGGACTTTTCTGGCCAGCCTTGGTCATCTTTGGAAGTAATTCTGTGATTCTGTAATTTGGTATTCTAGTTATGGGTATGTCCACATTAGTACTTAAAGGAGATCAGGAATGAGCTCTTCAAGTGAGTCTTCCCATCCTTTCAAGGCCCTCTTCTTTTCTGAGTACTTTGGCTAGAAGTAGAAGAATGGGCTTCAGAAGTGTGCTTCCCACACACTGAGTTGAGTGCAAGTCCCACATAAAAAACATTCCAAATGTGTAGAGCCTGGCTGTTGGGTCTGTAGCACTGACTGCCCTAATTGGCAGATACCCTGCTGTTCTGGGGTGCCACTTGCATCTACATCAAATATGTGTTTTTGAAGCAAGCAGCTGTCTAATGCTGGCCTGGCTTACATGGTACATGCAACATGGGAAGAAGGTGAGGTCTCCTGTTGGCGTGAGTTGGGTCCTAAATGGTATCCCAGGTATGGTGTGGCTGCTGTGGGAGGGCCACAGCAGTGGCAGAGGGGCAGGTCTCCTGCAGGCCAGGAGCCTTCGGACAGATGGAGAGTGTCAGCAGAGCACAGGGTGGGGGGTGGTTTAAAAGCCTGAGCTGTTTGTACTGGACATTCTGAAGTGCACAGCAGACATTTGAAGGTAAAATTAAGTTCTGTGTTTTTGCAGAGAGAATTAATCTGGCAGAACTGATTTGTTGACAATTGGCTATAAATGCTTGTGCTTGACCTTTCTCAGATTCCCTTTGTCTCCATGCCAGGCTTGAGCACCACCTGCCATCCCTGTGCAAAACATACCAGTGATGTCTTCTTAACAATCTCCTGCATTTATTTTTTTTCTCCTTCAGGGAATTGTCCAGCAGTTCTTGGTGCTGCTGACAACCAGTTCTGACGAAAGCCTTCGGTTCCTTAGCTTTAGATTGGACTTCAATGAACATTATAAAGCAAGAGAGCCAAGGCTTCGTGTATCATTGGGCACTAGAGGCAGACGAAGCTCACACATGTGAAACAACAGCTGAGACTGCACCTTGGTACCTGAAGGATGTTGCACCTCTGGTTGGACAAGGCCATCAGTGCTGACATCCTGCAGCCAAACTGCGTGTGATCGGTGTCTGCCATTTCTTCAGGCAATGTGTTTTCAGTCATGTGCTTGTGTGACACTGTATAGCAGAAAGCAAAAAAAGTAGGGTTTTTTACACTGATGTTTCTAGAATTACCAGACTGAGTGGGCTGATTGAACCTCTTCCAACCAACTTCTTAAATCATCCTTTTAAATGAATGCCAATTTTATTTGAAGCTTTCTGAGCTCTCTCCCATGTAACTTATATCTGTGTCAAGGAAATAGCATCTTTTGTTTATAGAAAGCACCATTTCCTTTTTTAACAAGAAAATAAGAAGGTTATTTTTTCTATGTGTACTTGTTCTATTTGAAGAGAGCTTTTGTTAAAGCCAACAAATTAGGGCTCAGACCTAATGTCCTTGTTAAGAAGCTATACAGCATTTCATTATGCTGATTTTCAGTGTTGTGATGTGTTTGAGTGTAAGAAAATTTATATCAGGAGACATGAACTTATATTTAATTTTTTGTTGTTTTCAAAGTTAAACTGAAAATAATTTAGTAGGGAAATTCTATGGTTACTGTGCAGGAGAAAACTAGAAGCAGAGCAGGAGTGTGTCTGTTGCACATAAGATCTAAATATGAAGTTACAGCTTCAGTAACTATGAAAGGAAGGTGTTGGTTAAAATTGAATGGAATTAAATGATTGATGTTCAAAACCAGATGTGTAGAAACAAAGTTGGCTACTGTTGACTTCATTCTCTTCTCTATTTTTTCATTGTAAATATTTATATATTGCAGCCCAGATGTTGGGGAGAGGAGGATTCTTCTTTTGCAAAGTTGTTATTATATCAGGTCACTTATGTTCCACAAGTGCAAGCTTAGAAAAATAAAAACACAGTTATCTTTCAAACAAGTGGTTTGCTTTTTGTAATCAAAAGATTGATTTTTCCATAATGTGAGAAAGTAGAGGCTTCCAGTTAGGAGTGTATTGATTTACAGATCTCATCCTGTTACAGCATTTTGATATTAGTCTTACCTATACTTGGAATTGTGTGCAGTTCATTAGTTAACAACTGCCCTCAGATCAACCAGATCTGTGGCCTTTTGTTGGCTTTTGCCGTTACTCTGCTTGAACCCTTGGGAAGCAGAGACACCTTCCATGCCATGCAGGGGAGGCTGCTGAGGGCCATGAGGGAGGTGAAGTCTCATGAGGATGATGCACTGACTTGCAACTCTGGACTAGTAGGGTTGCCGTGTGGACACCAGGATTCCCATTATTGTGCAGGCCTTAGAGTCCTTTTGTTAAATAAAACATGTAAGGCTTTTAACCCTGTGACATAAAGGGGCCGGCCAGTGCAGCTACCCTCATGGTGGGGCACTTGTAGGCAGCTTTTCAGCTGTAAGAAAATAATGGATCCTGAAGGATCCCTGTGGGAAGATCCTCTGGAAGTGGATGGAGACCAGTGATGAGTAGCATTCCTTAAGAGTCAGTACTGGGACCAGTGCTGTTCAACGTCTTTGTCGGTGACATGGACAGTGGGATTGAGTGCATTCTCAGCAAGTCTTCTGACAACATCAAGCTGTGTGGTATGGTCAGCATTGAAGGGAAGGCCATCCAGAGGGACCTTGACAGGCTGGGTGGAGAATGGATTGAGAACAGCCCCGGGGAGAAGGACTTGGAGCTGCTGGTTGGCGAGAAGCTTGACATGAGCTGGCTCTTGCAGCCCAGAGACCCAGCAGGTCAAGGGAGGTGATTCTCCCCCTCTACTCTGCTCTTGTGAGACCCCACCTGGAGTACTGTGTCCACTTCTGGAGCCCCTAGCACAAGAAAGACATGGAGCTGTCAGAGGGAGTCCAGAGGAGCGCCACACAGATGATCAGAGGGCTGGAACACCTCTGCTATCAAGACAGGCTGAGAGAGTTGGAGCTGTTCAGCCTTGAGAAGAGAAGGCTCCAGGGACACCTTATAGCAGCCTTCCAGTATCTACAGGAAAGCTGGGGGGAGGGGCTTTTTACAAGGGCTTGTAGTGATGGGTGAAGGGAGGAAATCGCTTTAAACGGAAGAAGGGAGACAGGTTAGAAATTAGGAAGAAATTCTTTACTGTGAGGGTGGTGAGACACTGGCACAGGTTGCCCAGGGAAGTTGTGGCTGCCCCATCCCTGGAAGTGTTCAAGGCCAGGTTGAATGGGGCTTTGATCAACCTGGTCTAGTGGGAGGTGTCCCTGCCTGTGGTAGGGGAATTGGAATTAGATGATCGCTATGGTCCCTTCCAACCCAAACCAGTCTCTGATAGATGATGTGTATGTGTATTCTGTGTGCATGTGCCTATGGCAGATTCATTCTGAGCCTTACTACTGGTTGGCCATGAAGCTGTGGCAGCTTTGCCTCTGTCAGGCTGCTGGATTCAGCGATTGCTAACAAAAGCAAGAGAGAAATTATTTTACATTTCATTTGTGCCTGGAGACCAATATTGAACAGCACCAAACCTGCCTGAGTTCAAGAAGCGTTTGGATGATACTCTGGGGCACATGGTGTAATTCTGGGGGTACCCTACACAGGAACAAGAGTTGGACTTGATGATCCTGATGGGTCCCTTCCAACTCAGCATATTCTATGATTCTATAAACGTGCATGTTTAGTATGAAAGTTGACAATTTCCTGCTGCAACAAGTGGCTTACCTTTCAGAGGAGGGCAGCAGCACCATTCAGGTATGTTTCTGAAGAGAAACATTTCACCTTTTCACTTTATTTCTTAACACTGAACTACTTCTTCCCTACAATCGGTGTTAAAGATTACGATTCTTAACAACATGTTTTCTCTTTCAAGGCTGTTCTTTATTTTGTAAGGCTTATAATGCAGGCTTCTGATTGGTAATTTCAGTGTTCACCTCTTGGAGGTACATTGTCTGAAAATATAAATACAGCAGTTGTGTCTCTGAGCTGGAACAGGCCCAGCTTTTCCTGCTGTCTGCATCTTGTCCCGGGGCCACCACTAACTGACCCCACATGCTGTGCTATCTCCTTTCCAGGTTTACTAAGGCCTAAAGAAATTTCTGAGAAACTGCAGTAAAAAGCAGAAATGCAGAAACCAAGGATAAAATAATCACCCCCTTTAGGCTGTCATTACAATATGCAGAACTCTTCTGGGGTGAAGGACTATCCATGTGGTGCTACCAGTATAATAAATACAATAAAAGGAAAATAAGTGGAAGTTATTCATGTCTGATTCTTTTAAACTACAAGGAATATTTTTCCTGGTAACTGGAAAAGAAATTATATCTTCACCAACATGAACTCTGAGGAAGAAAAGTTTAAAAATAGCCCCTGGAAATGTAACCTCCCTCTGTAAGTTAAAACAGCTTGTCTGCCTTGGGGCACAATATGATGCATTTTAATGTCTAGAAAATTCACTAGGAAATGCAGCAGCCCATGATATAATCTGCTTCTCAGTGAATTAGTTACAGTTTTAGGGTGGGCATTTGAGGACAGAATATAATCTGCTTTTATTTTACTGATACTATTTTTCACTCAGAGCCCTGTGGATTATCGCCTCCTAGACCAGATGCAGTGAGCAAATGCCGGGGTCTCTCAACTCTACACAGAAGGATAGTTTTCTTTATAAAAACCCTAAATCTCCTTCATTTATTTTGTTAAAATTAGTTGTGAAAGGATTCTGTCTTCTATGTAATATGTATGTAATATGTCCATTTTTTGGACAAGAACTTTTTTTAAACTCTTTAAAACAGCATTTCTATCAAAAATGGTAAATTATCTGTGTGTGAAAACTGTGGAAACTGTAATTTCCAGAATGCCACATCAGTATTAAGGGCACATGTACATCTTAAAAACCCACTAAGGGTTTGAAAGGTAATGTTGAAAAAAAAGGGAGGTATCTGGACAGAAAATTAAAGCTTATTTTAAAACTTATAGGCTTAAAATTTTCAGTTACTTTTCATGCATGTTTCCTAATGCTGAACCTGCCTGTGGGTGTACACATTTGTGCTCATTTCAGTTTTCTCCTGAATGAACAGCTTCAGAAATGACAGCACATTTTGCCCACATGTAAGGGTTCTTAGAAACTTCTCAAAAGTGCCTAATATATTTTGAAAATAATATTTTGCTTGCTTAAAACTTGAAATACCACTTTAACCTCTAATGAGATACTACTGATTGGTAAGAGGAAAAAAGAAATTCGAAAAAGAAATGGGAATTGAAAGAGATGTACACATTTGTAAGTAAAGCAGGGACAGATACAAGCACTTTCTCTTTTCAGAAGTCAAAGCATATAATTATGGTTTCTAGATGGGCTTTGGAACCATCACCTGCTCTACCCAGTTTAACAAACCAGAATTACACACAGTGCCAAGGACAGCAATAGACAGACAAAGAAAGACACTCTCTCTGTCTGTAGTATTTCAGAATGCAAAATCTGCAGCCTTTGCTTTAACTGGTCATTTGTCACTCTGAGGGCCTGTTGAGCAGCAGTTTTAAAATAACATGAAAATACATTAGATTTATGTTAGCTTGGAGCAATGCAGTGTTTAAGGCATCAGAATCATCTGTCAAGGTTAACTTGGTACTTACTCTCTTTCACCAGAAGAGCAGCAAAGGTCATTTTTTGGACAAGAACTTTTTTTAAACTCTTTAAAACAGCATTTCTATCAAAAATGGTAAATTATCTGTGTGTGAAAACTGTGGAAACTGTAATTTCCAGAATGGCACATCAGTATTAAGGGCACATGTACATCTTAAAACCCACTAAGGGTTTGAAAGGTAATGTTGAAAAAAAAGGGAGGTATCTGGACAGAAAATTAAAGCTTATTTTAAAACTTATAGGCTTAAAATTTTCAGTTACTTTTCATGCATGTTTCCTAATGCTGAACCTGCCTGTGGGTGTACACATTTGTGCTCATTTCAGTTTTCTCCTGAATGAACAGCTTCAGAAATGACAGCACATTTTGCCCACATGTAAGGGTTCTTAGAAACTTCTCAAAAGTGCCTAATATATTTTGAAAATAATATTTTGCTTGCTTAAAACTTGAAATACCACTTTAACCTCTAATGAGATACTACTGATTGGTGAGAGGAAAAAAGAAATTTGAAAAAGAAATGGGAATTGAAAGAGATGTACACATTTGTAAGTAAAGCAGGGACAGATACAAGCACTTTCTCTTTTCAGAAGTCAAAGCATATAATTATGGTTTCTAGATGGGCTTTGGAACCATCACCTGCTCTACCCAGTTTAACAAACCAGAATTACACACAGTGCCAAGG